CATCTTACGTTTCCTATTATAAGATTTTGCCTTGCAATAGACTACGGAGTCGTTTTCGTTGCGCAATTCAAATTAAATACATTCAACCAAACTTGTACAGATTACAAAGAAATAATATGGTATTTTTTAAATTCTAGTGGTGCACATATGGCCCTTACCAAAATAATATAAGAAATATTCGCCACATTTTGTCGTCTTCTGACCCACTAATAATTGCCAACACCACCAAGATCAATATTTAATATTGAATTACAATGAAATGAGTCCTTGGATTGAATTATAAATTTTATGTCAGCGTGCTTGTGACAGGAAAGTTATATATTATCTCAGACAGCACGTAACATGTCGTTTTCCTTTGACTTCTTGATCCATGCACGATTCTCCGACAGCCAAATCTACATGGAGTTCGTGCGACTGCGACCAAAAATTTCAAAAAATTTCGTATACAAAATTTCCAAAGTTTTTCAAGTTTGTGCGTCTGAAGCAGCAACAAAACAAGAAATGAATGAGAAATAAATAGAATAGATTTCATAGAAATTAACTCGTAGCACGGATAAGCACTCGTAGTGCTTCTCAGTGCTACGTGGCTCTCTACTTGTGCTGTTGGTAAGAAAGTGACACAATTTAGACAACATGACCCTCTAATTTTTGCAAGTGATAAATATTAAGCGAAACCGTATATTAATGATAGCATGAGGTCCCATCACCATGGTGCAAATTAATTTCAAACTATTTTTTTGTGCAGCTATTTCCATTTAGGGTGACGTTAATACCTTTAAGAATCTTGGGTGGAATTCGAGTAGCGTGGTAATTTCAAGCTCCATTTATTTTGAAGTAAAACGAGAGTAGCACAGAGCAAGCTGTGTCGTGCGAGCATGGCTATCTTACCCTGGTGAGAATAATTGTTCTCTCATTCTGGGATTCTAAATTTCCATTAGGCGTAGAATCCAGTACCTTGGGAAATTGAAACGATTTCATAAATAAAACTTTGCTGAATAATGTTCATTTCTAGGACATAATTCGAAATGTCAAGATTATTAAAGGTGTTTCGAAACAACATGAACGAATAATAATTTATTAATGACTTTCATAATCATTTGGTGACTGAATTATGTTACTAAAATGGTAAAATTAATTAAACTCTTTTGAGAGAATTTAGTTGTGTCATCGATTTTTTTGGAAGAATGTAACGAAGCTGACAAGGAAAAGAAAAATTTACTGTAGCAGTTTCGACGCTCGTAAAGCAACTCACCAACAAAGGTTAACTGATGTTCTGCAATATGAGCTACTGCATACAGACCTTATATATCGCAGAGCATAAAAGACATATTTATCTCGGCATAAATTCTTCGGGACAAGAGGGACACGGAGTCTTTCGTTGTTGTCGTAACTCTGGAAAACATGGAAAATTGTGCGGCTGACTGTCTCGTTCGATATCGTGTGTGATTGGAGGAGACGCGGCCATGGGCTTGTTTTTCGGCAATACATTAGCTTACGGAGCCCGTCTGATCAAGCCCTGCGACATCACTTTGCTGGTGCGCGAATTTGGGGCAAGTCTATAATGTCGATAACAATGAAGAAAGAACCACGTTCAAATGATAGATAACATTGTTTTTTTCGTTTGAAGAATTATAAGATGGTCGTTTTGCAATTTGCAGTATTCAATTCACTCATGGACCAATACCTGTAGCTGAAAATAAGAATATCAGAAAAAGTAGAAAACTATTAAAGATTTTGCATCCATCCCATTCACATTATAAGCCTCTTAAGTTTTGATTGTCCCATCAGCTATACGAGTCTCGTCGGTTATTTTAGTTTAATCAGCAACACGAGTCTCTAATAGCTTAGTATAACCGATGTGTTATACCGAGGACCTCACTCTACATTTGAGCGAAACAAGTTCAGGAGCATTTAATAGCCTAACCCAGCTCTGAAGGTAAAAATCTCATAAGCCTCATCGAACGTCGTGTGATTAGTATTAACGAATTATTAACGCCTCTAATAGAAGTGGCAAGGTAGAGTGAGAAAGTTGCAATCCCTGTGTATTCTCAAAAACTTGACATAACATTACGGTCAAAAAGTAAAAGCCAACAGCATCTGGTGTTCCCAGGCGGTCACCCATCCAAGTACTAACCAGACCCAACGTTGCTTAACTTCGTCCTTCATTAGTTAACTTGTATTACACATCACCTCGTTTCAACAGCAAAATTGATGCAATATTATTAATATGATAAAATACTACAGAGTAAATGATATTTTTACATAGCGTCAAGGCTTCATCTGACAAAATGTTGTCTGTACTGACGTGAAGTTGATGCGTCAAGGCTCCATTTGATGTGATGTTGTCTATAGTGACGTGATGTTAAAGCGTCAAGGCTTCATCTGACGTAATGTTGTCTCTACTGACGTGAAGTTGAACCGTCAAGGCTCTATTTGATTTATTACATATTCAATAATTGTTAAAAAATCTTGCTCAGCCAACTTGCAAATCAACTAACTAGTCTTCATCGTCCAACTTGAAACATAAAACAAAATTACGTAAAATTTCACCTATGAGAAATTTGTTATTGGAAATTTTTTTAAATAATCCCACCCCAAAGTACAATTTGATGATCTAGTAACAAATCTCACTCATGGATGCACAGTTATTTGAAAACATGATACATCAAAAGAGATTGTAGTTCATATTCCCAGCTCCAGTAACACGAACATAACAGCACACAAATACTGAACTGAATTTGGGTGTTCATGAATTTGATAAAGCCGCGGAGCAACGACCTGTTGCGTCAAGCGCTCGATCGTGTAACGACGAAACATATGAGAATAGTTCGATCCATTCCTCTCGCGACGTTAAGGGCGAAACATAAGACAATAGTTCAATTCATTCCTCTCGCGACGTTGAGGGTGAAACATAAGACAATAGTTCTATTCATTCCTCTCGCGACGTTAAGGGTGAAACATAAGACAATAGTTCGATCCATTCCTCTCGCGTTGTTAAGGGCGAATCATAAGACAAAAGTTCAATATATTCCTCTCGCTACGTTAAGTGCGAAGTAGTTCAGGAAATCTTTTGCGTGACGTGAAAGGCGAAGTTATAATGAAATCTATAGTTTAATAAAATAGCAAGTTTCGTCGATTTAATACATCTTGCATCCATGTGCATGTTTAAATTTCTACAAAAAATGACGAACAATGTACTGATTAAAATCCACTGGTGTATTTTATACATCATGTTATTGTTACCATATTTTGACATCTCCGTCAATTTTCTGAATGTTTAAAAATTCTAACAGGATGAAAATTGTCGACACAAAAGCGAGGGCGGGTGCAGAAAACTCTGGAGTTCAACTGAATTGAAAGCTTCTATTTTGTCGGCAATATTGTGGTGCTCATCCAAGTGGAATAGTCTTGAAAAATTCATGACCACGACGAAGTTGAGACATCGGAACAATGACCCTGCATCGCTCGAGGATCTTGTCCGCACATATTTTCCAGTATTTATTTTTCGGAAAACTGGTCACAACTGAAGATCAAATTCACCATCGCAGACATAGCAACGTTCTTCAAGAAGAAAATTGTGGGGCATTTGTTAGAAATTGCTGTGAACTTTTTAGAGAATAAAAAATTTATTCAAATTCAAGTGATTTTCAAAAAATTATTCAATTGTTTGAATAAAATTTCTGCTTTATGACTTACTCATATTGTTCAGAGTATTTAGGTCTAATCGAACATTTATACGATTATTAGAGGAGTTTAAGTAAGAAAGGCGTAAAATATTCCATTATAGTATTGCCTCCGAAAAGATAAGATGCAAATGAACAGTTTCCGATTCATTTATGGTTTGACAATTCACCTTTATAATAACTCACAAATTAACAAATTCAGTTTGTGTTCCCTACAGAACATATCAATCTAAAATCCACACATGTCTGCCTATGAGCGCACCTCGCAGCATTTCGAGAGCTGGCACGACAGCCAAATTTTATATGCAGGAGGTTCTAACCGTCAAAAGGGGCGGTTATGACATGCATGTGTTAGACGCTCGCAAAAATTGAACACGCGTGTCATGTATCATGCAAAACAGGACGTTTCTGTTTACAGATTTGATTGTTATTTTCTTACCTTGGAAATGTGCATCAAACGACAAACGTTGTTGAACACGAATTCATTTGACTGCTGTTAAGCTTTCATGTTTTATTTTCGTTCGTCATGCGAACTAAGCTAAAGCACTTCATGACTAGCAAATTACGGACCAGGCAATAAGTCCAGCAGCTATCTCAATCAATCGTCAGTTATGGAAAGATCGGGTTCCAAAGGCCGGATCCCTTGTGAATCAAGTCACGAAAAGTTCAAGAATCGGCAACAGGCCATGGGCCTATTTCTTCAGCGCCGACACTTCTATTCTATTCTATTCTATTCTATTCTATTCTATTCTATGACATTTTTTCATTTAGTTCAACGCAAAAATCCGTTCATCACAAAATGAAACCATGCGTCATTGTTTGTTATCAAAGCAAAGATCTCAGAAAATGTTTTTCATCTCCTGAACATTGAACCTGTAATGCCCGTAAACACGCCGGAAGGTTCTTGTCTTGTAAAGCGTCACAGACACAAGAATTACGCTTACTTCATAGCATAGTGGCGAATAATTGAAGGCTCAATAAGTGATTGAGAAGTGATCGTGTTGCTTCACATGCGAAACAAAGTTAGCATTCTGAGGATTGGAATTTTTGTTCTCTTAGTATAACCAAAAGTCAAATATTATAGGAGTTGCGATGCTTTGATTGGACTCTGAAATGCGGTTTTATAGGTTTCGTGTAGCCAAAATTGTTTTTGTTCGTTGCAAATGAATAAAGCAAGATTTTCTGGTCGATCATATTGTTCATTGTTTGGTTTCAATGTTATCAATTAAGGTGCTATTAGAATTATCGATTTATTCAGTTCACGTTCATCTTTGTAATTCCAAAATACTTCAATATTCACCTCATGTCTTAAGGTCACGGTCATCACCCAACACTTTTACCGACAGTTTCCTGTACCATGAAGAAAGTAAACGGAATTGCCAGGACCGAGACCGCGCTGTGCAGGAACAGCAGTCCCGCCTGGGACAAAGCGTCCTGCAGGGGCGAGTAGAGTTGCAGGTTCAGCACTCCCAGTATCATGGCAACTGACACGCAAATTGCAGACGCCTGAAAAATTAAATGGAGTTTGAAACAATCCCAGATAATAACCTGTTATATCAAATCTCTATCTGTTATATCAAATAATAGCATTTCAGGAGTTAATGTTATCAATTATGGTGGATGAAGCTAGTCTTCGTTAAAAGATAAAAGATTTCCTGTACGTTAAAGAGATTTCCTATTTAAATTAATCATTTGGCAAAATAGTTGATGGTTGGGACCTTACTATCTTAGTACACTGACAGCTAACATATCATGACATTTACTCTTTTGAAATTTTATTAACATTTCTGAAAAATGTTTCACCCGTTTAAAATTCATAATATACCATGTACCTGTCTGAAATCAAGAATTACACGAAAGATTTAACACAGCATGCCAATAGATTCGTATTTCTCACAATGGGTCTGATGGCGGTGGGGAAGTACTCAGAAGAGAGGATGAAAGGGATGCTCTGGATGCCCACAGCAGCGCCCATCTGAGCGCACACGAGGCACACGAGCGGCACCCAGCCGTACTCGCCGACGGCTGCGGTGCTGGTGCCGGCTAAAGTCGAGTTCTCGGCCGTGGTTTGTAGGTAATCGTGCAGCCACTCTACGGACATCCACGCCGCAGAGCGGAAGTAGACATTGCTAAAGAGAACTGGTCTCAGAACACATTTTTCTTCTCAGAAACATTTTATGTTTCATACTAAATGAAAAACTGACTTAAATAAATAAACAATTATTCGTGCTTAACCCCAGTTGGGTTGCATGGGTATAATGGTACCTACACAAGGTTTCATTATAAAGTTGTAAAATTGTGCCGTATGATTGAGGTTGAAATGTTTTATGATCATTATTCAATAGTTATTACAATTATTATTATCTTTAGGTCCTCTACTCACTCGCCCGTTTCTTCATCTGCTTGCTGTGGAATTTGCCATGTTGGGACATTTTGTTCATCATCCACAACGGTGACGTTGTTGCTCATTCGGTCGCCTCCTGACGCGCGCGTCTGGAGCACAAAGATGGCAAGCACCGCCACCGACACCGCCATGATGAGGTGCGAGAGAAGCAGACAACCGCGTCGCCCCAACCATTTCACCAGCACGACCGAGATCGAGATCCCCAGCAACTGAAAAATTTTTTCACGACAACTCGGTTAAAACAACAGCAACTGAGAATAAATTACTATGACTTTGAGATGAATTCCGAATTATTCCTTGGATTTTATTGCGCTGTGAAACACTCCTATAAGAAAGTTTACTATTACTATCCAGAAAATAATAAGAAAATCGTATCGTCGACACAAATAATTACAAAAATGTAGACTTAACTCACCAAATTTCATTAAGCCGTTCTGATACAGAAATATATTTAACGAGCTGAGAAACTTATCTGATAATTTACTTTGAAATTACTCAAGCTTCGGAGATGGATTTTCGTCCAATATCTCTTCATCTCAGATATAATCTATTCTCTGTATGAATTCTGCATTCAATCATCTCTTCCGGTGTAAAATCATTTGAATCGGCCCAGTGGTTTCAGTTCAGAGTACAAAGATAGGCGCAGAGAGGCGCGGGTTCGATCCCAGCTCTGTGCGCCATATAGTGTCTGGTCACAATCGGCGAGGAGACCGGGCGTACAACAGAATTTGATTCAGATAGTTGTGAGTTTGAGACCACAACAAGCTGTGAATGTCTTGCAATGTTAAGAATCGGCTACAGGCCTACGGCCTAATAAACGCTGAAACCGCAAATGAGAGTCCACGAGAGTGACCTGCGAGAGCTGCACAAGGAAGGTGGCCAGTGTCGCCTCCATGGTACTGCCGGAGTCTTCCAGGATACGCGCTGTTTGGGCCACAAATATCGTGTAACCTGGAAACGGTCAGTCAAAAGAATTCATTTCAGGTTGATCTTATTGATTGAATTGCATGGATAAATGTACTTTACTTGTCCTGGAAATGTAGCGTATGGATCGAGTCTAAAATTAATGTTCAACAATTAACATTTCATGCCTAACTTTGCTAAAAACTATTTCACTGTGAGTCTATGAATAGGATTGTCTCTATCAATATTATTGTTTCAAATATCAATCAAATGAGACGAGAATCCTCATCAAAATAACTCGCAAACACAAAGAGCACCTGAGAACACCTGGATGATGAACAGCACGAAGACAATACCAAGTCTTTTGAGAACTTCACGATTTGCAAGAGACTTGACTGCGTTAGTTTGCCTGTGGAGCTTATTGATCTCTTGGAAGTCTTTGATCTGAGCATCGACGTCTGTTCCTTTGATACGGAGTCGAGTGAGAATACGCTTGGCATCACCGAGTTTGCCTGGCGAACAATCAATCAGGAACATGAACCTCTATTTCTGGTAGAGGCTGAATGAACTGTCACTGACGCGATCGTGATTGAGACTGGTATCCTTCGTACGTTTCAAATTGTACTCCCTCCTCAATATTGATATCAATAATTGAAAGATTGAAATGAAACCAATGCGGAAAAATTTCGTATTGTAAAAATTGGTCTTTTTAAAAAGCTTTCGCAAATAATATGAAATCTTATCGTACTAAATCTGAGTTTTTAATATTCACATGAGCACAACAGTATTTAAAAAGTGTATCATAATTCCCGTCATCAAAGAAGACTGCTAGGCTCTGCATAAGCCTGAGTTGAGAATCTAAAGCCTCTTCTCCTTCTCTATATAATTGCACGCAGCTCGAGTGGCTCTCACAAACCCAAGTCATGAATTTTAATGGTTATTACGAGGAATACAATTTTCTTCAGCTCGTGAACTTAAATGAAAATCGCAATGTGGACTCTCAAAATACTCGTTATCTCACTCTCCAGCAAAACAAACGAATTGTCTTTATGTAGTTAAACTCGAAGAAAATTGCCTCTTACGTTAATGAATTCAAATGTAAATAAACAAATCGCATTGCATCTTGACTGAGAAAAATATCCCAACACAAATTGGATAACATTGATGTACATATTTAACTTCAGAATGATTTAATTTCAAAGCCGTTATCCAAGTTACTCGGCATCAGGAAATATGTATGAAAATTTAATCTTTTTTAATGTACACACCTGATAAGACTAGAGCGGTAGGACTGTGAGGCAAGAAGAAGATGCAGCAAATTAGGAACAAAGCTGGGAAAATACAATCTACGAATGCGACTTCGTAGAACCGCAGCCAATATGCCGGCACCACACTCAGCACCTGGCCTAGGAGTGCGACAACAATGAGACAAAAAAACGTAGATAACAGTTCAGGTAAGAACAAAAAGTCATGTAGAACAAATATGTTTGAGAGATAAAAACGCATTTGAGACGCATTCGTCAGAATAAAACGCAAATATCCATCATTCTTTCTGAACTTCTAGTTTAATGCGAATACATTCACATCATTAATAGCTAACAGTAACAAGTAAAGTTTACGAGGCCAGACCTGGAAAACGTGAAGTGGGAGGTCAGGATATGTCATTTTTCTCTATTATATACTACCCTTGTACATGTAATCACCGACCAATGCTGATGGATGCAGCGCATACAAGAGTAAGTGGTCCGCGTAGGACGTCATCTGTCACCTCCACGATGTAGGCTATGCCAGTCGCCGTCACTGCGCCGTACACCACGCCGTTCAGAACCCTGACGTCGAAATTGCGTGTGTCAAATGACCGTAATTCTACTAAGGCCTCTTCACAACGGCAAGTAGTCACCAAAAATGGAACGCATTAGGGAGGCCACCTTCAAAAGACTTCACACTTCAGTCATATGCCTTTCCGTGGGTGAGAACGTAGACGGGAATAGCAGCATATGAAGTTTAGTCCTTAAAGTATGTCCACAGCCATCACTTTAGCATGCCCAAATTAAGCATGGCCATTCTGCATCTGGCCAAACCTCCTCCGGTCTCACCTCTTCGGGCCCAACCTACACACGTTTCAACATTTCACAACCCAAAACGAACCTGAGCGGACTTAACCTAACCTCATTGGCTGCTGGAAGATGGAGAGGCGTGTCAAGTGAGCAAGGAAAGCCAACCATTAGCTGCTGGATGGTTGGTGAATCAGAGCAGAGTGAATAGGTTACTAGAAGATGTTAGGCCGGATGCTGAACAGCCTGCTTTGAATGAGAATGTGGAAATATTGGCTGAAGACCTCGGCACTATTATCTTTAAGCAGCGTTTCACTGGTCTGGCTCACGGTGTTCCAGCGTTGTCTGTGGCTGTTAGCTCTGTGGCTGAGAAAGGTTATTGCCTGCTGACTTGCTGAGACTGCGCCAGGACCTGTTTATGAGTTAAATTTGTGGTCCACGGTTGCACCCCCTCCAGAAAATTGAATTGAAAAGCGTTTACGAAGATATATTAAACTTTGTTATTCAATTCCGTCAAGTCTAATTCGTTAAGAGGAAGAACAAACAACAGACCAATGTCTTCAACATAACTCTAGTTTATACCGTCACAAATCATGGAGTTAAATTCACGACAACGCCAGTAGAAAAGAGCCAACCAAATCATATAAAAAAATGAGTAAACTAAATTGCCGATAATACTCACCTGAAGAGCAAGCAAAGCCAGGCATAAGGGGACAGTGCGATGGCTACCCACGAGACACAAGCGATGACCGCGATACCGATGAAGACTTTAATTTTGCTGACGAAGCGCTGCGACAACACGCCTCCCCAAACTCCCAACACGGCTCCCACGCTTGATAAACTCCCTGAGTCGAGATAATACGTTAAATCTCTACACCCGTAGGTGTACAATATGAACGCGGAGGTGTCATTTTTATGCTTGATTGACAGAGCAATCTATTTAAGACGTCCAGTTTTCGCCCGCGACTCTTCCTGTATTGGATTCTAAGAAAAATACCACGCTTGTTCTGGAAGCCTTATTTCCTCAGGCGTTCAGCAAAATAGGTTGGGCAAAGAACATAATAATATACATAGCAAGGTTGGTCAACTTATCTGATAAGGTTTATGTTATAAAATAATATTTCATTACGCTTCACAAATTAATGCGCAGTAATTCTTCAATCCATATTTTTGAGACATAATTTCTATTATTCAATCACCTCTCTCGATAAAGGCCAACTTTACTCAGTAAATGCACATCAATCCCTTGATACAGGCATGAAAAAAAAAACCGTTGTGGAACATCGGTCCTTTGCAAATGCTATCTGTTGAAAGGAGAAGCGTTGAATTTTATCGTTGAATAAATAAACGTTGAATTTTATCACTAGATTCATTATTGAATAATGTATTATTTGCCACAAACAGACCCATGAGATCCTGTTGAACTTTAGTGAAGGACATCTGAGAACCATAAATGGTGGTATTGTAAACACGCACGTCCGACAGGATAACTGAAGGAAAAACCAAGACGCCGCCAATGCAGAGAAAAGCGAAGCTCATCATAAACACCACAACCACCTGAAAAACATGATTTTTTCAGAACATTTAAAAGCGAAAATGTGTACAGAAACTACGCTTCAACCGTGCTTTAGATTCAGATGATTGCTGCTCATTTAACTGGACAGAAAAATTAATATACTAATTTTAAATTGGAATAAGGTAAGTATATAATTTGACGTTGGTTTGTCATATCCGTCGCCTATAAGCGTAAATTTGACAGGTTTTAAATTGCATAAAAAGGCACAATTTTATTTTCAGTTAAAACGTTATAAGATATAGTAATATATCAACGGTCATACAAATTGCAGAACTATTAACGAGACAAGAGTGATTATATAGGTAAATTCATACCTTACTATTAGACTCTACAGCTCACAGGGGCCATACTTTCAAAACTCGCTAAGTGAACGTAAGTACTTACGTGCTATTTTCTTGTCTATGATTGGTGGATTTTGCTTGAAAGGCCGTCAATGATTGGCTGATGAACTTACGATCTCGTAACTTTTTTTGAAAGAACAGGCCCTCTGATACTCACTTGATATGGTCGTCCTTCAATTCTATAACTCGGATATTCATTCCGACGCGCCTCTGAGTAACGTTCACCACTGTAACTTGTGTTGTCAACTTTACATACGTTAGTTTCACAAGCTTCTGATCCGGATGATGATGATGAATTTATTGACTTGTTATCACGTACATACGCATAATTATGATGCTCTCTGTCGCTGGCCAGAATTTGGTTTTGTATTTTCTTGCTCGGCTCGTCTTGCGAATGGTCTAGGACGAAACTTCTACTAAATGGCATTTTTGACGATGATTGAAAATAATGCAAGGATGGCTACGGGTGTATGGGCAAAAATTTCAATAATTAAGCCTTATGTTATATTTTGGAGACAGTTTGATTGTTGTTTATCATCTCGTTACCAGATTGAAAATAATGCAAGGATGGCTACGGGTGTGTGGGCAAAAATTACAATAATTAAGCCTTATGTAATATTTTGGCGAGTGGTGACATCTCGTTACCAGAACTGTACACCCTCACATTAATTCAATGCTCGAGCTTTTGATGTTAATCGGAGCCTAATTTAAACGCACGGCTTCAAGGGATTAGAAAACGACATGATTAGAATAACAATATTAAGTGACCAGCTTATGAATTATTTGGTGCCTAATGGACTACTTAGTGTGATTTCAAATTTTTATGTAAATAAAGTACGGTCCAGGCGTTTGTGATATTCTTTATCAGATAAAGCGTAGTATAAGAGGCTCGAAACACTGTATAATATTCATTTCGAGATTATATTATGTCGTAGTAAATATAATTAGCATTATGAGTTAGTAACGATTAAAAGGTGATACGAAATTCATAAAATAAACTAGAATGGTGCATAACATTTCTTTAAACTCTAGCATCTAATCCGATAACACCGTCATGTACAAGTGCATTCTTTTCTCTTTAAACATATTCAGAGAAATAATCCATTTTTAGGCCAATGCTAAGCAATTCTTTGTTTCAAGCTTATAAGGGAAAACCGGCTTCGTGTTTTTGCCACTTCATTTTATTCACTAACGAATTGAAACATCGCAGTTTATATATAAGTTTCAATAAAGAAAAATCATCCATGTGCTGCCACATTTGCGGTATGAGGCTTTCAAGAGTAATAATACGAGCGCGCTTAGCTGTATGAAAACGTATTAATTGTTATATATACGGAATTGCCTGTCTCTTCTGTCGCAGCCACTTGACAACAGCAAAAAGTCGCGCACTGAAGCCACATGTGTGATAAAAATCAACTTATAAGTTTTACTGTTATACGGCACTTACGATAGAGTAGCACGCCTAACCACTGAAGCGATAACCCACTTTGTTTTTTAGATTCACGTGTATATTTTAATATGCCTATTAATACGCTATCAAGTGTATTAATTGGCGCATGTATATGATTTGCGTTTAAATTGTCGCAGAAACAGCTAGGTAACATCAGATTATCAAGTTCTGTATTGGCATGCTGCTATTTCGTCCGAATTATCCCTAAAAAATGAATAGAATAAGTTTATTGCACCATTCACCGAACACTGTTAAGTATAGGTTACAAGGTTGCTTATAGATATGAACGATATCATTGCCCCACAACACTTGCACATTGAGCACCGGTAAACGGCCATGCAAAAATGTTCAAAAAGATCATATTGTTTAAATTCTGAATTAGATTTGTGTTTCGGGTGGAATAATTCAATAAAACAATTAGCGTAAAATCATTTCAATTAATCGTAAAAATAAGGACGGAATGAATGGAGTTAGCATTTGAGTTTCTTCATAGATTATTTCTCGTCGGCCGAGCGACATCAATTGGAGTCCGTTATTGACAGCAAGTGGAGTCCCGTGGCGCGGGTAGCACCAATTTTAAAAGTTTTATCGCCTTGGTTTTTGATAAACTCTAATTGGGAAAACGGCGTGACTTTATTTGCTTCAACTTTCATGTCTAGTTGAAGCATAAAATCGCTGCGAGAGAAATGATTTAAATTTCTCACAGCTTAGTTAAAATCAAGTTTCTCTGCCGACGTAAAAGCGTGATTTTTAAATTTCATTTTTAATTATAATTGACATACGTGATGATTGGTTAAATTTTTACAAAATTTTAAAACATGTAAGCAGCACTGAACCCGCAATTTTTAACGCCGTTCACAAATGAAACGCCTCTTTTCACTAGTCTAATAGTAGAATTGTGACTTATCGTTGAAAAATCTCGACTGAAATAATGTTCGACCAAAATTTCAAGAAAATTCTTCAAGCGTCTTGAGACTGAGTTATGTTTGAAGAAAATCAGACCCGCTTCTAGCAGCAATAAATTTTTCGTGGAAAAGCTTTGGTGCAGAATTTACGAGAAGTTCAGGCCATCCGCGCTTCTCAAATTCGGAATACGACGCAATGTGGTTTGCAGAAAGTGTTGGTCGGAACAATCTATATTCATCTGAAAAACTAAGGTTTAAATGTTAAATGTTAGTTAAATGTTTAGTCATTGATAGGCCAAATTGGGGATTGTTAGCTGAAACTCACTTTCTGTGAACTTTGATAGCAATTTTACGAGCTCATGCAGAAAGCACTGGAATTCTTATATGTAGTTATATTTAATTGCCTCGTTGGTTTAGGTAAGATTAAACGTAGCTAAGGTCGTGAATGAGACTCGCAGAGCTTTGCTGCTAGTATATACAAACAGAGAGCACATGAAATTTGGGGTTGTTAAAAAGAAATTTCCACAAGTAATATCATGTAAATGTGGTGGTACTTACAATGCGCACATATATTTTTTAAAAATGTTGCTATAACATTTATTTGAAAGGGATGAAAATGTATGTGGCATTGCCGAAAAATAGGGCAATGCAATTAATGCACTCTTACAAGAATGCACAAGAATCGGCAACAGGTCATGGGCCTATTTCTTCAACGCCGACACTTCTATTCTATTCTACATGTATTCACACAATGTAACGCTTTAAGAAAATGGGAAAATCTAGATGAAGTGATACTTTGCTGCCTAGAACATTATCTTAAAGAGTTTATCGTGCAATCATGGTTTACTTGACATTCTTTACCTGTTTAGACTCTCATCATTCTCTCCAGTTCAAGTCATACACTTGAGTCAACAGCACTTGCACTGCACAATACACAGCTGCACATCAAATAAATGCAGAAGAAGTATTAAAATGAATCCACAAAAAGGTTTTTCATCAGTAGCTATGGTAGTCTTGTATATAAGTACAATGCATTTTCTGGCGAAATAGATCACGACTCTTATAAAGGAACTGTTGCGGTTCGTCTTCGCTGTTTGCCCCGCACATCAATGTTCACATGCACGTTCTGTCACTTGATGCCAATTATGCCTGTCTTTGTTTTTATTTATCATATGACTTTTTTTCAAAATGCTTCACGTTTTAAGCGTTCTTCTACGCTAAAAAGTGCTGCATAAATGGCTTCTGGCCTCCATGTACCTTTTTCATTATCTTTGTGTCTCAAGATACACAATATCTTGCTCGGTGTAAATCCGCTGCGTTGCGTCTGTACGGGAGCAATGTTGAATAGATTATTTGGTTCCTGCTAAAAAATGTTTCCTTCTGGACCTACGGCATTGACCGTTATCTTTGTTTTAACAGATTTCGTAAAATAACAAACTGATTTCCCATTTTTTAAATCACATGCTGTCAACTTTTTACTTACAACTTTTGCATTTTTCAACACATTAGGAACAATAGATACAGCTTCATTGGTAGTTTTTTAACCCGATGAACGAAAAAGAACATTTCTCTTGTATAGGAGCTTATGACCAAAACGGGAGCGAGCTGCCCGCTGTAGCTTCCTAACACCATCCAGACACACTGTGCTATGATTACCGGTCACAGATGCGAATAGAAGCTGCTGCAGCTGCTGCCCATAACTATCTTTGGAAGCAAACAAAAGACGTTCACGAAGACGGTCAGTGTATGGTGTGCGGACACAACATTCTGGTCAGTTCTCAGTAATCGATCGTCGCTAAAATATCAATGCTTTTCATTACTGCCAGTATTGAGACTTAAAATATAAAATGGCAACCAATACATTGTCAGGAAATGCTTAATAATTGAAATTATCCAAATTTGTGTAATTAGATTAGTGTTAACGCAATGACAACCAACAAATGGCAGATCACAGTGATAAAAAAAATAAAGAAAAAATGCAGTAAAAGAGATAGTAACCAGCGCGTCTTTGCAGAAATTGCGTCCGGAGAAATGAGACAAACTTGGACGAGAATTGGTGTCTTCTGGCGAATTTACGGCTCCTTGAGCTTGTCCAATAATAAGTCGTATTTGTCACGAGAATCTTGTAAAGTTCGGCCTCATATGGCCTTGAGGATGGTCGTAATAGTTGTGCGAAAGTGTGATGTTGAAACGTTGATGAGGGAGAATATTAAAATTTTTAATATGATTTTATGTTTAATTATAAATGATCTCATTCCACTCTTACACTTATTAATACTATGGGTTGTTCGAGTAAAAAACTAATAGTTTCTGTCTTTTATGACCTTCAGGATGGTCGTAATAGTTGTGCGATAGTGTGATGTTGAAACGTTGATAAGGGAGAACATTACAATTTTAATATGATTTTATGTTTAATTATAAATGATCTCATTCCACTCTTACACATATTAATACTTCGGGTTGTTCGAGTAAAAAAAACTATTTGTTTCGACCGGCAGGAGCTTTACCACGGTCTATAAAGCTCTTTATAGAAAGTATACATATATCAGTAAAGCGCGTGGTCTAGGTAAATTGCAAATTCTTATCAAGTTAATGCAGGTTGCAGACTATTTCTCTTCTAATGATCCCCGCTCGGGTCTCTAAACATTTACATTATAACTACCGAACAATCACAATATATGCGCAGAACTCCATAAAAATCTAAATCCCTCTTCTAAAAACAACTTGACAATTATGAATAGAAAATTGCGTTCTGACTGAATAATCTTGCCACTTTTTCATAAAAATCCTAAAAATTATGACTTGAACAATTTTCTATAAGTGAATTATGTTAACGATTATGTATCGTAATACCATTACATTGTTATTGTACCTGTGAGGAGAATATTGTGTCTGTGGCTTCGATAAAATTTGTCGCATCCCTCCTGGCTTTCGTGGCTGCGGTAATTTCCTTTGGGCCCAACTCCTAAGTCCCGGGACATCGCTTACGCTAATGCGACTTTCATTTTCTCGTACTGGTCGAGGACTTTCATTTCCAAACAAAATAGTGAAGATTAGAGACTCTGTCTATGCTAAATATTCGTGATTGCATTGATCATATTTGTCTTGTCGCTAATTTAGCCTTTAAGAGGAAAAAAATTTGCTAAGAATACAACAATTCTTTTATCTTTTAATGCCTGTTGCACCAAATAATAACTACCATGATGTTAATTTTCTTCTACTGTAGCAGGCTATAGAATTATATTAACGAGATGTTAAATTGTCTTGCTCAAATATTGTTATTTAGTTCCGTTGCTGTTTTGTTGTGTTTGGGAATGGGGGAATGAACCCACATTGCTGGAGCTTGATTCAATAAAAGCCAACGTTCTCGACAAATGCAAATGATTATTAACGCTTTAAATATTCCACTCACAATGCTAAGAGTGCCAGCACGCAGCGAGGAAACTCAACACTGTGTAGTTGTAATAAAATCCTGCTCTTAAAGTTTTAATTAAAACTTATATTGAAATTGAATGAAATTCATAATATTTCTAGAATTTACATATATAGGAATGGTTGTGATGATGTCGGTTGTGATGATGGCTGTGCAGTGATGGTGTAGATGAGTGTGGCGTACGTTGGTGTTGATGGTGTACGTTACACGGTGTTTGTTCAGGGCAATAAAAAACAATTTCGCGATCATATATTTTTCCAGAAAGTTGAAGGGAATAAACGTGCAATAAGAAACCGACACAATTACATTTTTTTTACCGCCCAACGAGGGAAAGAAGTGCGCATTTTCGATGCATGGAGTGCTCCTTGATTTATAGGGCCCGATGAGCGATGCCAAAGACGTGATAAGCATTAAACATGTCCACCTAAAGGCAAGTTTTTAGAACTCGCTTCAGTTGCCAGCAGCTGTCAAAATGTCGACATGTCTGGAAACGTACGAGTGCTTCATGGCGATAACTTTTCCCGGCATCGCTCTTGGATTCAACAGAGCAAGGAACAGATTGATGGAGCGCCTCTGAAAGATAGCGGCCCTTTTACTAAGTTTATGGAATAGCACCAATATCCGATGCAATCCAAGGCAGGTTGTCAGTTAATCTAAGAAATCGTTTTCAGAACTGATGGGTTTTGAATAACGGGTGTCGATGTCGAAAAAGGTTTCCCCCATTTCAATGCGGCATAAAGACTTGTACGCCTACGTCGAGCAAGGTTCATGCATAGTCTTGGTTAAAGCTGCACGTCTCGTCTCGTCAAAGTACGGGACTGCTCTAGAGCGGCAATAGTTGAAAAGAATCGGCTGTTCACTTCTGATAAAATCGAAATTTTTATGGTTATTTCTTTCAGTAAATGCGTTTGAATATACCGGACTGGCCGAGAGCAGAAATGGTTAATAAAGTCGCGTGCTCATGCACTTCTGAACATAAAGAATATTTTAGTGGCTATAATAACTGAGATTAACCAATAACTGCTTTCGATAATACTGATATCTGTATATATTTTATAAAAATATGCCGAATTATCATGATTTTTTATTACAATTTTCATTGTATTAATTGAAATTAAAATGGGTTGATAAAACAAGATACCCTAAGCCTAAGCTTCATGATAGCGAAATCAACAGTAGACATTTCTATTGATGAAAAAATCTATTGATATTAAAGTTCGAGAAAAGTTTTCTCGTGAGTGACAATTGAACGTCAGTGAAAAACTTTTGCAATAAACCGAATCACGGTCCTTCACGGGAGGGTTTTTCATTACTTTGAAAGCACTTCTTTGTGGGCGTATGGACGTGGGAAGGCCGATGCATGAAGCAAAAAATGCATTCAAATATCTTAAATAAAATTAATCGACCCTCTAATGCTCGCCATGACTTCCATGCCTAACTAACAATGACCGTTTTCATTTGAATTGAATTAATTGAGGAATGGAGAGATCAACGGGAACGAGAAATTCTCGAGATGCACGACGGTTTTGGCCTTCAGGCTGCGACGCTTCGTGTGCGTTCCGACAGTTCGAAATGTCAACATTGAAATGCGAAACTTCGAAAGTGTTTAGTGATATTAAGCTCATTTCATGGGGTTAGGTGTATTTCGCCAGTTTATTCATTTCTATAATAGAAATTAATATCTTTGTACATAAACTGTTCTATTGGCGCAAAATTTGCATCCAAATTTTCGTTTTTCGTGATGAACATTTCCAGACGAATCTGTCCGATAAGCGATTGAGTGCGCTGTTGTCTATCGGGAAATGTCGACTGCTGAGCCATGACATTTTTGTCCATAAATAAGAATATATTTGTAAAATTAGATTCAAGGTAAAAAATACGTTCATCAATTTAGAACCGATATGATTGTAGAGAATACAGAACGCCAACGCAACCATTGTTTTTTCTTGAGTCGAATAAATCCCAGGCGAATATCCTCAATCAAGAGAAGACCACGTTCACAAGTCCCCAGACTCGGCGTTAAATTCCTACGTCTGTTTTTTGGCGACGAGTGCGACTGGCATAAAAGTAAGCAGCTTCACTGGAAAATTTTAATGTTAATTGTAATATTTATATTCAATAAATTATTATGTTTTAAATTAATGTGCAAGTTCACATCTAATTTGTGTATTAGGAGTTAAAACAATCTTTCTGGTGAATCCAAACAGCATGAAGGTAATGCAGGCTGGAAAAATGACATAACATTGTTTTATGATGATCCTAGTATCAATTTACGAAACTGTATTCAATGCCCGACCAAATTATTCTCTTAAAGTTCCTCATGATATAATTAAAGAGCCATAAATCATCAAACATTAATTTGGCCGCTAAACAAAATGAAATTAAACGTTGTTGTAACTAATTAAACGTTGTAACTCAATCAATCGTCAGCTATGGAAAGATCGGGTTCCAAAGGCCGGATCCCTTGTGAATCAAGTCACGAAAAGTTCAAGAATCGGCAACAGGCCATGGCCATATTTCTTCAACGCCGACACTTCTATTCTATTCTATTCACGCCAACTAAGCATCGTGTGTGTCAAAATCAAGCCAGTTGAGCCTCGTTTAGGCCGTGATACGCTATTGACTTAACTTAATTAAATAATATCATCCACGGTCAACATGTAGTGCGTGTGCGTGATATAGTCAACAATTACGGTCAACAGTGCGTGATATATTCAACAATTCATTAAGCCTGCAGGTTCGTCAGCTGTTTCAATGCAGATCGAACGATGTTATAAAAGACTCTCCAATACAGGGAAATTACAATGACAAGTATCCTCTTGAAACTTGTAAACTACAGCTGATGCTAAGCAGCGAGTTCATTTGAGAATGTCGGATGTAGTTCATATATAATCTATTGGCTTAAATCGGAAGATAATCAATAATTAGGAATTAGTTAATCAAGTTTTGTGTAAGTAAACATTTCTTCATCAAAAACGTTTCACCGATTAGTTTTTGAATTGATATAATGATGGAACTTGAATCTACAACGTTTTCCTTGAAGACAGCGAATTTAGTTGGTCTTTTCTCTGCTTTTAAAATTTTAGCTGATTAAGTCGGTGAAATTATTTAGAGTAGTAATAATAAACTTACTAATATCTTACCAGGAAAACTTTACCCACGTTGAAACAGAAGTATACCCAAACTTGATTGAAATGATGACAATGAAATGGTAATAAAAATTTGAACAAAATATTTGCAAAAATTTCTAGCATAAACATCGAAATCTATTAAATATTTCAACCTGGTAACATATTTCCTGTGTCAATTTTAGATCTTGGGCTTGCGAAACAACTTTCTATACCGAACATAACATAGTGATGTCGGCGCTGAAGAGTAGGCAAAGTTCTTAACACGTTAACTACGAAGTGGTACATATGCGTACCACGAAATGTATTTCTCCAGGAGGTAGTGGTGCATAATAAATTCAACATAGTAAAAAAAATGAAATAATACTACAAGACGAAGCAATCAGAGTCAACGTGTTAAAGACGGACACTTATTTTAGAATGTTATAAAATACGCAAGTTCTCCCACATCACAGCCACTTAGAGATCAAGTCAAAAACTTTCACGACATCGCCCTTTAGTAGTATAGTATAGTATAGAATCTTCGGCATTAAAGAATAGGCCTGTCGCCGATTCTTGTACTTTTCTTGACTAGACTGGCCTTTTGATCAAATCTTTTCAACTGTCGCCATATTTTATTTAACGTACAATTATGTGCGAAAATATTTCATGAAATTTAAGCAAAAAATATATTATAACATTCTGATGCTTTTCGTTAAAAAAATAAACAACTTTTTTATATCTTAGTCTACTTGAATCGTGATCTTACCATGGTGAGAAGCTGACAACTAAAAAAAAAAGTTTCGAACGGATGAGTCTGTAATGGACGTCAAAATTTGCATACTCGGCGGTAAATAAGACTCACAGAAGTGGACCCCTCAGGGGGGACTTCTGACGGGTGTCTGTGCTCGTCAGAAGTCCTATGGGATTTCGCGTTCCTAGGGGGATTGTTCCTGAGCTGTCTCTTATACACATCTAGATGTGTATAAGAGACAGGCAAGACGCTGTTCCAATATCGCGTTCGTATGAGCAGAACGCAGCAAGGCGGCAAGGGAGTCAAAATGGAACTGAAAAAACTCCTCGACACCAGCTTACGCTCTCAGTGTCCTTATGCGTAAGTTCTGATTAGCTTTTCTCTATCTTTATAGTTGACTAATTAT